GTGTGTGTGTGTGTGTGTGTGTGTGTGTAGCGGTTGGGCCTCGTGTGAGTGAGTGAAAAATCAGTTGAGCGGGAGTCAGTTTGGGCAATCATCAGCGTTGGCCCTTCCAATCACGAGGCAGTTGAAGACAAAGGATGATAGGAGCGTAGCATTTTTGATCCTGCTTCCCGCCAAACGGAAAAAAAAAGACTCAATCTCTCTCACAAAAGTGGAAAAGCTCCATCACGCCTGACAGAAGTTGAGGAAAAACAGCAGGGCCCGTAATCCAAACGCTGCCCCTTACCTTCCCCCGTCAGCTTCTTCAGGTTAGCTGACCAGCAGCTAACTTTGCTAACGTCGCGACACAACAGGGAGCCCGACCTTGGAGTGACTTTGAGTCTGCACTCGCGAGTTTACGTAACGTCAGAGTGCTCCTGCATCGTTGACATCGATCACACTGGTTGACATACGGTCCACCCGGCCCCGCCCCTCCGCTGGTGGATCAATGGCAGCCTAACGAGATAAGCGAGCGTGCTAATGAGTTCGCCGAGCGCTGGCACGATCGGGAAATCGAAAAGCGTGTGGATGAGACTTGCGTCTAAGTTAGTGTCAGAACTCACAATTGCAATTTGTCTGTTGTTCAAATGGGGAATGTGAGACTTGAAGTTGGAATGACATTGGGAAGTGGGCTCTTTGCACGCAGCACTTTTTGGCCTTATGAAGCAGGGTGGTAAACTTCTCAAAATGCTGCAAAGAAAGGTCCACGTCGCGATGGGCAGTGGACGGAGTTAGCAGTTTTCAAACAACCCAAAGTCAAATGCGCCATGAACAAAATGCCTCCAAAGTCAAAGAATTCAAAAGTCAAACAAGCCAAAAGTTAGGGCCCTTCAAAAGCGAAATGTTTCAAAAATCAAACACCTCCAGAGTCAAACATCTCAAAAGTCCAATCATGCCAAAGTCAAAACTAAATCGAAGTTAGACACCTCAAAAGTCAAGTAGTTCAAAAGTCACACAACTCAAAACTAAGGTGATCCAAAAGTCAAACGGCTCAAAAGTCAAATAGTTCAAAAGTCATACAACTCAAAACGGATGTTCCAGAAGTCAAACGCCTCAAAAGTCAAATCATTTAAAAGTCAAATAATCCAAGAGTTGGTCATTTCCAAATTCGAACTAATTCACAAGTCAAACAATTCACAGGCCCAACACTCAAAGTGAAGCGCGAAACACTTCAAACAGCTGTTGAGAAGTTGTTTCCCGTTGGTCTTTTCGCCGCGATTCGGCGCCGCCGTCAAGCTTGTCTCGTCATTGGTCGGGATTGTGGGCGGCGACACTTTGAATGCTTCGAGTGCCTTCAACTCAAAACGCTTCTCGTTTTACGTGCTGACTCACGGCGTCCTCAAAAATCCAAACAAAATCTTCTTCAGTCTCCACATGTCAGCCTTGCCCCCGCGGCGGCGCTAAAATGATTCGGAAGAGCCGCTCTTATATTACGTGTGTGTCCCCCCACCCCCCTCGGGAGACCCCTCAGAGATTCCACAGCAACCAGTGTCGAGTTTCACACACAGATGGAGAGACAGCGCGGCAGGGGAACGGCCGTCCGTCCGTCCGTCACACATGACCAAAGTGGCCATCAAAAGTCAGTTGTGCTTTTTGTTGTTCCAGTTTGTGGAAAAAAAAAGGTGCGTCAAAGTCACTGTTTCTTTTTACATCAAGCTCATTTTACTCTGCTTTTTGTTCCCAAGTGGGTGTTTTTGGTGAAACCTCGCCATGTTCTAACTACCGATCATGGAAGAACAGAAAATTCTGGAAACTTTTTTTTTCTGGCGAAAGAAGAGGTTTACCTTTTGTTTTGGTAATTTTAGGTTCTGTGTTTATTTTACTCGTGGAACTCAATATTTCGATAATATTTGGGAGTTGAATGTGTCACTGCCACTCTTTTCCCTACATTAGAAAGGCAGCAAAAAAAGGGATTAGGATCAAGTTTTGCAATCAAATGACTAAAAAGACACACGCACACACACACACACACACACACACACCTAACTGCTGGAATCAGGCACAGCTGTGTGATTGTGCGTGTGTGTGTGTGAGTTGCATAACATTGGAGTGTGTGTGTGTGTGTGTGTGTGTGTGTGTGTGTGTGTGTGTGTGTGTGTGCGTGCAAATAATCCAAGAGTTGGTCATTTCCAAATTCGAACTAATTCACAAGTCAAACAATTCACAGGCCCAACACTCAAAGTGAAGCGCGAAACACTTCAAACAGCTGTTGAGAAGTTGTTTCCCGTTGGTCTTTTCGCCGCGATTCGGCGCCGCCGTCAAGCTTGTCTCGTCATTGGTCGGGATTGTGGGCGGCGACACTTTGAATGCTTCGAGTGCCTTCAACTCAAAACGCTTCTCGTTTTACGTGCTGACTCACGGCGTCCTCAAAAATCCAAACAAAATCTTCTTCAGTCTCCACATGTCAGCCTTGCCCCCGCGGCGGCGCTAAAATGATTCGGAAGAGCCGCTCTTATATTACGTG